CACACACACACACACACACACACACACACACACACACACACACACACACTCCTTTTCTGTCATTATTTTTGCTCCATTGTGCTTTAATTCTGATTCATGTTTAATCTCTCATTCCTTTTCAAACAAAAAACAAAAAAGAACAAACTACTCAAAGCCCTTTCTGCACTCGACTTCCATATTCATGTGTTGCAGTGAGTTTCTCTGCCACAGATGAGGTAAAAATCCGATGAAACATCCACCCATGAAGCAAATTCTTACCAAAGACAAACCGCAGCAAAGGTTTGCAGAGCATCATTTCACAACTCGTAGATTTAAATATTCAAATGAGAATTCTATATTTTGCTTAATTCAACCTGTTTTTTAATCCCTTTTTGGAGTTTTTTGCTGAGTCACTGTTCCCTCATAGTGCAGGGAACACACAAGTTCTAACTCGCCCCCCAAACAATCCTGCCTCATTTAGTTTTTTCTTGCTCGCTTAGAAATGATCTGCTCCCATCCGGGACCCCTGCTGGGCTCGGAGTGAGAAAATACAGAAACGAGGAGATTGGCTTCATTGTGGAAAGTTACATAATAATAATAATAATAATAATAATAATAATAATAATAATAATAACAACAATAATAATAACTACAAGAACGCTTTATGGCAACATGTTCTACAAGAAGAGGTGAAGGAAAGAAGTTTGTTTACCCTGCCGTCCTCCAGCTGCTGCATCTTGACCTTTGAGGATGATGAGGAGGAAGATGAACAGCTGTCAGTTAGATGTCTCTCCTTCAAACAAAACACACGTATGTGCAAAGAAAACCTAAAGAAATACAGTGAGAATTTTTGCAACAGTCATTAAAATTGTTCCCTTAAATATTTCCAGAGCATCATCAAACATCAGATTATTTAAATCATCTCTGAAGTCTATTACTGAAACTGTACTCAGCTAAAGAGCTTTTTAAAACCACGTGCTGTCACATCTAATGGAAGATGTTCCTGTAAGGCAGAGCAGCTCAGGTTCTGTGAAAACCTCAAAACTGACAACTCCTCCCTTCACTTCCGCACTCACTCTCTTCTCTGCTCCTCTGAAAAGTAACTTCTACTTTTTCTATAAACACCCTGCTGAGCAGTAAGTGATGGAGCAGCTGATGCTCAAAATCAACTTATTTTTTTAGATGTTTTTAACTTCATAAAAATTAAAAACTGCAATATTACAAATAAGATTCTTTGTTTGATTATATTTTAAAGTATTTCTGTGAATAGTTTCAACAATAACAATCCATATGACAATAAATGGAATTCATAAATTAAAACTTAGTTTTAGCTTACCTTTTGTGTTGAAGGCTTTTCAGTCTTTCTGATAAACAGCTCAGTCCAGATGTGATAAATGATGAGACACGGGAGTTTTTATAGAAAGCTGCTCACGTCCCCCAGCAGCACACTGACGTCTTTCTTTTAGTCATATTTAAATTAGAATTACAGAGAATTGCACTTTTTTTTTTCAGGCGGTATTTCTCCGTGTCGTCATGTATGGAGCTATCTCATAATTATGACTTAGCTATCTCATAATTATGATACTATCTCATAATTATGACTTAGCCATCTCATAATTATGATACTATCTCATAATTATGACTTAGCTATCTCAAAATTATGACTTAGCTATCTCATAATTATGATACTATCTCATAATTATGAGATACTATTTTCTCATAATTATGAGATAGTATCATAATTATGAGATAGCTAAGTCATAACTATGAGATAGTATCATAATTATGAGATAGCTAAGTCATAATTATGAGATACAAGTTTTATTTTTTTATCAGGGTGGCGGAAATGGGCTTCCACAGTAATGCCTGTAGTAGCGCCGCAGCTGCAGTTTCCGCTCGGATGAGGAGGGGACGTGCTCCGGAGGACGTTACCGCACGCAGCCGGTGAAAGGGGCCTCTGTGCGGCCGCCGCCGCCCACCGAGGCCCCGGAGAACAAAAGGTGCGAAGCTCCGAGGTCAGACACACAAAGCCTGGTCATGCAGGCATCATGAGACCGGCTCAGTGGGTGGTAAACTAACAGCTTCAGCTGCGGTAATCTGTACAGTCTAAAGATCACTCTGGACTTTTACAAATTATGGCATACATTTAAAAAAAGTGGCTGTTCTGACAAGATTTAATTTTATACATACTAACTGGAAATATGTTCCTACTTAATAGACAACTTTATATTCAATGAATATTTAAATAAAAATTAAAACTATTAGGCTACAGCAAAATAATAGAAAAAACAGAATCCGCATTTTCTGCAAAATATAGAACTTTAAGAGTTGTGAGAACTTGCTAAAATTAGACGAAGAAGCTAAAACTGAGTTAAAAAGTTATAAAGCTAAAAGGTGCAAAATACTTACAAAAGCAAAACGATTTAACAAAAACATACAAAATCCTAACTAAAAGGTAAAAGTAGATAAAGGGTAGCTAAAATTAGCAAAAAACTGTTTAAGCTAAAAGTAAAAGCTAGATGCTAAAAATTAGTAAATGCCTGATAAAAAAATTAATTTGTAACTAAAGCTGGTATAAGCAAACTATTAGCTAAAAGATAAAAGAAACAAAACACTAGCAGCATCAAAATATTAGCATAAATAAAAGAAATGCTGGTTCAAACTAGAAACATTATAGCTAAAATTAGCAGAAGATGATCTTAAGCTAAAAGTAGTTTAAATGTAGCCTAAATAAGAATAGCAAAAGTTAGCTGAAATCAACAAACTAGACCCCTCATTATCTCTGAAGACAAAGTTTTTTTCAGCTGAAATATCTGAAACAGCTGTCTTTTGTTGGAGGTCCATGAGGGGTCCTGCTGGGCTGACAGGGTCACAGGAGGCTGCAGGAAATTACAAAAGAGGCAGGTGACTCTGAAACAGTCTCTGATCAGCTGTTAAAGACAGGAATGGAGGAGGTGAGGAAGACCATTATGGTGCAGGAACAGGGTTCTGGTATCAACTCTCAGAGGACCGGCTGAGGGCTCGGCACCATCCATGAAGAAGCTGCATCGACCCAACAAAAACAGGAAGACACGTCACACAGACACACATTGTCTTATTACTCCATGGTGAGGGCGTACTGTGAGGAACACTATGAGTCAGATTAGTACTCAGTATTCAACTGTATTTTGTAAAACAGCTGTTATCAGGCAACACTTGTACTTAGAAATCTACATTTTATTTAGATCTTAGTTCGATCTGCTGAGTTTGATGCCTGGTCTGTTAATCTGCTCTTAATCTGGTGCATGTTTTTGCACTGCAGCCAGCCAGGTAGCATTGTTAGCATTAGCTTCGTTCACCCATCCAGAGTTAGGTTGAGGCCTAAACATCTGCACAGCCACCTCTTCCAGCTCCTCACTGAGGATTCCAAGGTGTTCCTAAACAAGTCAAAAGCGCTCCAGCGTGTCCTGGATCTTCCTCAGCGTCTCGTTGGACATCCATAGAAAATAGGGAGGGGTCCACAGGGCATCAGATGCTGCCTGAACCACCTCAACTGACTCCTTTCGATGCGAAGGAGTAGCGGCTCTACTCTGAGCTCAGCTACATTTTTCTAACCATGGCCTCAAATTTAGAGGTGCTGGTCCTCCCCACAGCTGAGGACAGATTAGCTGAAGTTAATAGAGTTGCGCTCATTCACAAACTTTATTCCATGACTGTGTAAAAAACAAAACTTCCAGTTGTTGTGCTCCACTCTGCAGTCTGTCAGATTAAGAAAAAAAACTAAAATTTACTAATTTTCCCTTTTAAAATAACATGAAGGAAGCAAAAAGCTACAGAAAATAGACTGATGGTTTGGCTCTGCCTTTTGTACATTATCAACCGTTTGGACTGGATGGAAACATGTAAGACATAAATTAAAACCATCCGCCTGTTTTAGCAGAGTAAAAGAAAGAAAAAAAATTGTATTTTGTCATTTTGATCAACAGATTTTTTTAATGTTCCATTTTGCAACCTTATCTTTGTGATCCTTTTAGGCGTATATGTCTGAGTTTACGCCCATCAAACAGCAAAGGGTCACAAGTTAAATAGAAATTTTTGGAAGGGGAGGAAATGTACATAATATATAATATATATTATATTAATTAATTAATTAATATTATTAATATATAATATACAGTGGCACCGTGCTCACATCAGAAAACGTCAGGTTCTTGTTTATATGAGTGCCTCATTTTCTTGCTAAATTCCTGAGAATTTATTCATGTCATCTGGATTAAAAAAGAAGAGTGAACCCTCCTAAAAACAGGAAGTGCAGAGAGCAACATGCTGATGTGCAGGGCGGAGGCTTTCAGCTCATTAAGTAACACTAAAATCAAACATTATGCTTCTTTTAAAAAATCAATCGTTCCTGGTATCAGATCTTGAATTAGTCGTTGCTGTATGTTTTTTTCAAGTCATCTGCAAACCCAGAAACGCCAGAAGAGATGGAGTAGAGGAAGTGATAAATCAAATGTTAACCACTTTAACATGCCAGAGGGTGTTTATTTCCTGTGCCCTTTACACAACCAGCCTTTGACTAACCTTACCTCTTTACTCAAAATAAAGACATGGTTTAAGACACCTTTTGTCGATTTGTGGCCAAAAGTTTTCAGATTTTCATTTAGCTCAGTAAAGATCATCCTGAGAGCAGTTTGAATGTTGATGTTTTGGATTAAATTGTCTTTTTTTAAAATGTTTTTATAACTTAACTCACAGAATGTCAGAGTAAGAGCCTTAAGGTAAGAAAACTAAGAAAAGTACATTTTCCAGCTCTTAAATATATACTATACACAAAAATGTATGCTTGGTAGATTTTTGATGTAACAATGCTTCTTGCCAGTAAATCTACCATTGGAAGGCCTGTCGATATCCCTTTTAAATGCTGCCACATTTGTAAGGAACATGCAATGTGGGATGAGCAGTAGAGCTGAGTATGTCAGTTGCACACAAATAATTTGCCAAATCTTCTCTGTCAAACAGCGTATTCTGCTTTTGCTACTGACACTTGTTTTGAGCTTTTGGTACCTTCAGGTGCTGCCAATCAGGTGCAGACTACAGAGTAAGATTTCAACCAGATGTGTTATATAGTTTGGAGACAGTGGTTTTGATGTTTAAAAAATGGAGACAGAACTGGAAGTGGCAGAGCTGATGATGTTGAGGTTCTCCTTGGGATTGATGAGGATGGATACGATGAGGGATGAAATCATCAGATGTACAGAACAGGTTGGGAGATAAAGTCAGATCATGAGATAGTTTGGACCTTCTACCAGGGACAGTGGGTATATTGGTAGAAGGATGTTAGAGATGGAAAAAGACAAAGTGGTAGAGGACAGGGTGAGACGGAGGATGACTCACTGTGGACACCCTTGAAGAGGAAACAGCTGAAAGAAGCCATATAAATATCAAACATTTTAGCACTTGATCAAACTTGCTTTACTTCAAACATCATTAGATACACAGTTCTGCTCAGTTTCTTGTGTTCTAATAGATTTAGGTCAGAGCTATGTAGGAAACTCAAACATTTGAAATGAATCTACCTTAAACTTAACTACGGTAGCCTACGTGCATTTCCACACATCTCTGATGCAACACGTCACTGCTGTGGTTTCCAGTGTTGAATGAGTTCAGTGGGTGTTGCATGAACTGTCCATCAAACACTCTTTTGAACTTCTTATTGTGCAAGCTCCTGTAGCGGATTTAAAGTTTTAAATAAAAAAAATTTGAAGTAACCTCTTTGATACAGTTATACTCTTTCTTTTTTACTAAACTCAACAGTAATGCTTGTCTCAGTGTAGTTTCAGGTCCTCTGTTACTGTGTGGGAGTCCAGTTTATATGTGGTTCATTACTTATTCAAGTTTATTTTTAGATCAGCTTTGCCCTCATCTTTTACACCAGAGTAGGCATGACTTTGATTTATGTTATTATATTTCTTTTTCTTTCTAAGTTTCCTTTGATACCACTCATATTCTTAACCACTATAAACAGAAAACATGACATGCTAAACTCAAAACACTTTGAAGACCAGAAAATCAGTATAAATCTATTAGTAAAGCCTGTTTTCCAGTAAATACTGTGATAATCTGTAGTTCCCACTCTAACATTCTTGACATTTTGATCCATCTGTAACAGGATGTTGTCTTATTTCCAGTCTCTGTAAATGGGTTCAATAAGCCGTTTGGTTATTATGCTCAACATTATGTGAACTTGTTGCGGTTTCATAAGCTGCTGCCTTCTTCACTGATCTGATGACACCCTCTAGTGGTAGACATGTTGAATTACATCTAAAGAAGCAGTTGATTGTTTCACTCCCACCACCTTCTGATAAAATAAACTACCCACATCATTCAAAGCAAAGTCTTTGGAGCTGTTTCATAAATATACATGCATTACTTTGAAGGTATCATAAGTCAGAAATATGGACTTCAACATAGCACAGCAACTAGAACAATAAATCAATCAGTTTGTTGAATTTAAAACAGTTTAATACACTTGTTACTTAGAATTGTCATTTTACAAGATGTTTCAAATGACTGTATGTGAACAAATCTAGAGTGTTTTAGGTAGGCCTATTATTGGAATGTTAGTTTTGTTTTAATCAGTCAAGCTTCCTTGAAATGATCTAAACACTGATGAAAGTAACATTTTTCCAATACTTTCCCCCTGAACAGACACAGTAACCCCCCCACACACACATTACTTTATGTTGTCAGTTGCTGATTCAGAAAAGCTTAACTGGACCTGTCCTGGTGAAAAGTCAAACCAATATCAGACCAAACTCCCTAAAGTTTATGATAAACAATGCAATAAAGAATATTCACTGTATTCCCTAGCATCAGAGATAACCATGAAAATAGCTAAGTAACAACTGTTTTGTAAAAGTCTTCAGGCACACCATAAAAGCACGCTGACTGGTAACAGGATAATTCAGATCTTTCCTGGGAAGCTTTCATTTTCTATCTGATCGTCCCATTTCTCCACCTGCAGAAGACAATAAAGAACTTTACAAAAAGAATCGATATAAAACTCTGCTTTACATGCACAGAATTACAGCAAATACTTCTACTGCAATTACAAAGCAGATAGTAGGCCTAGGCTGCATTTACACAGATATAAATAGTCACAAAGACATAAAGTTCAGAGTTTCCCCTACCATTGTACAAGAAGGGCAGCCCACCCATCCCTTTCCCTATAAAGTTGAGGGATTGTTTTAATTATGGTAATAAATTTTGACCTTTTTTTCTTATGTACTACCACAATAAGTTTCAATATTTTCTTATATACAACTAAAATATTGTGTCACGGGGGATACATTTTCAAAATTTCTCTCTGAGTCCTGCTGTATGTTGTGCAGAGTGAAGCATACAAGCAACCGTATTTATATTTTTCACACTGGAATCAGAAAAAATGTTTTTCTTGTTAACTGCAGAGATAAAATTGTGGACGTTTGATTGCTCCTAATTTTATCTTGCTAGTTCAACAATCAGCTTCTGCTCAGGAAGTGCAGCGGATCATTTTCAGCAATGTGGAGAAGTGTATGGCAGGCCATTTTTACATTTAATCAGCATCACCAGGTTTACATTCTAGATATCTGAAATTGGTTTAAGACTAGGCATGTTACTTATTTAGATGAGATACATATGATGTCCAACCAATTCAAATGAAATTATAGACGTTTTGATGCTCTATAATTTTATTTAAAAAATACAAATTAAATATATACTAACAATTATTTGGTTGTCCATCATTCTATGTTCATATTTGCTGTATATCAAATAACTTTTTTTTGGTTTTCTGATTAATTAATAAAATAAACTGTAGAATAGTTATGAAAACCAAAGGCTGTTAACATTTGTTTTCTGTAATGAAACAACTTCAGAAAAATTCATAAGCTTACAGTAATTGAGGCCTGGTATCAGAGATATAAATCCAAACACTTACCCAGCCTATGGGGCAGAGGCTTTTATAAACCCTCTGGTACCACATGCAGGGCGACGGATCCTGGTTTTTGGCTGTCAGAGCCTTGTTGCACCTGTGGAAATCTGAGGCAGGAAAAAGGGGGTTCAAAACAGTACTTTTTTTTGACTTATTGATGAACAATTATCTCATGTCAATATAAAGACAAATATTTAACATAATGTTTTAATATTTAAGGGTGGTTATGCAAGATCTTAAAGCTTGTAAAAAAAAAAAATTTCCAAGAAAAACGTTTGTTTTAAAACTGGGTTCAGATGTCCATGATGCACCAGTCATGAAGAAGATGTGGTTATAACTTATTTTAAAATAGCTGTCATGAATAGATTCTTGTAAACAACACGCACGCACGCACGCACGTGTGTGTGTGTGTGTGTGTGTGTGTGTGTGTGTGTGTGTGTGTGTGTANGTGTGTGTGTGTGTGTGTGTGTGTGTGTGTATGTATGTATGTATGTATGTATGTATGTATGCTAGCCTTTACAAGAGTGTTTGTAAACATTTCAGAACAAAACCTAAAAAAAAAAATCAACATAAACCAGTTTAGTCACACATGTACACCTCCATCATGTCCTCACCCAGGTAGTTCTGGAAGCAGTTGCGGGTCTGGTTCGTGTTGGGGAACCGGGCGTCGAAAGGAGCAGTCTTGTAGTTTCCAATCTTGTCCTCAACATGGTCTGCCATGTTTCAGTTTAAATGGTGCTTAAACGAGGCAAAAATCTCTTTTAACTTACAAAGAAACTTGCAATTAAAACAAAAGGATACATTTGTTAAAGGACCATATAACCGATATAAGTTATGGTTAGATTAATAAATCTTCAAGCTTTGTGTAAAAGATTAATTCAATTCGCCCATCATGAAACTTAGCTTGCGGCTAACTATATAAACATATCAGGTTTTGACGGCTAAAAAAACACATTTAGATATCAGCTGAATGCTATTTCAGGCTTTTGAAGAAGGAAAATCAAAACTCAAACACGGTACAACACAAAGATGATTCTATAAAGCATTAAATTATGAAGTTGGGGACAACTAACCTTGAAACCGTCGACGTTTGGTCGTGACCGGAAAATGTCAAATTGAGAGCGCCGCGCAAAGGATACTGGGAAATGAAGTCTTAATACTTTTGAGTGGCTTTTTGTTCTCTCATGATTTTACTAATAGTTTTTTCAGGTTATGTATGTTAAAGACTCTATTTTTACGGTTTTTTCACAGAGAAATTTTAAGTTTTAGAGTTTTATTAGTGGTGAAAGATTTTGTCCACTTTTAAATATGGAAAAAAAACATTGTGTACTTGAGAAACAAGCATTCATGAATTGGGAAATTTATTGAAACAGTGTGTAACTGCCACGTTTATTTTATGATTAATTTATCTGTTTTTAAATGGCTTGAATTGTATTTTCAGCTGTAATTTTTCCACACCACATTTAGAGGGTGCTGTACTCATGATGCAACAAGAGGAAGCTTGTCAGATCCAAGCCACGCTGCAAGATTAGGGTTAGTTAAGTATGGTTTTTGACAGAGAAAAGCAGAAAGAAGCTGAAAGGAAGATACCAAGCCTAATTCCTTTGGTAGCACACATCTAATGAGATATATAATGTTTAATTGCTGTATTTTGTTTTCTAATTGGCTAAGTTCATAAGCGTTTAATATCAAGATTTTTTTCTTCTATTTTTTTCAGAAGTATGTTTTTTCTTTAGTTTTCACAAAGTATATATGCCCTGCTGTAATAAATATATGAGTTTGAGGAAACCACGTTTTTTTTTTTTTCTGACAGCATCTTACAGTGGAAGAGCAAAGGTCACAGGTGTCTACATCAAACTTCCTGTCACTGTGTGCGTTTCCTTCATCCTCTTTCCAGCAAAACGTCACAGTGGGACATTTTCTGTGTGTTCTGTAATGCAATCTGACATTCCATTACAGTTCTTGACAATCTGCCTGATTTGAATGATGGTAACAACACTGCACTACATTCATCTCTCAGTTTTGGTTTTACTGTATGTCATTAATTCTGATTTGGACAAAAGAATATTAAATTATCCAAACGAACAAAAAAAAGGATATTTATGTTTCTTTGTGGTACACGTCATGTTCTTATAAAGATGTTAAACATGCATGTGTGGATAAATTTACCCTTCCCTCATTTTCTGCCAGTTTCTTCTTTTCTTCCTCACCCAGTCAGGATATAGGTGTTGTCCAAAGCAAAGGAAGGAAATTCTGTCACTTGGAACAATAGGCCCGTTACTCTATCTATAGACCCAGAGCTGCTGAGAACCAGAAAAGGGGAGGCAGCAGATCTATTCCACCTTGAAAATTGATAAAACAAAAAATAAATACTTTTCAGTAAGGAGAAAACTGATGCTGTTAGAAACAGAGATGCTTTTATAAATGTGCAATGAGCTGAGGCCTTTTTAAAGATGGATTTTCTTCGCGAGGAGAAGGACTTATGAGCATTTTTTGGCTCTTTACGCTGCATTTTCATAATTAGGCAGCTAAGGATCATCATAAATCATTTTCCAGAAGTAATTGTGGGTAAGTTAATTCAAAACGTAAGTATTCAGTACATTTCAGTTTCTTTCTTACGTCAGTTTTTTGACTTGTCAAAATACTTTGTCATCTTTGTGATCGTATATAGGTTCATTATACAAACAGACAATTTCTTGTCTAGAAAAACAAAAAGTTAAATGTGTGATTGTTCATTTCAGGATGGAACTTGTCAGACATGATGTTATGGAACACTGGCACTTTTTTCCACACAGGCACAAAAACCTCAAACTTTCATCCCAGATTTAATACTTAAAATAAAACAGGTGTTTTTGACGTGGAGTAAGAGTTGTAACACAGACGTTTTGCTGAGAAATGGACAGACAGCGACCTTTGAAGTGGGATTTTCCCGGTCTCTCCAGCTGGACATGAGTCCTGAAAAATACGCTTCCTGTTTGAGAATGGGAAATGCACACTCTGATTTGTAGGGGCTTTTGTGCGTGTGTGTGTGTGTGTGTGTGTGTGTGTGTGTGTGTGTGTGTGGTGGGGGGGGGGCATTTCTCCTTGTTTGTTTTCACCATGTTGACAACCTGCTGTAGGTATCCTGTTTGTCTTTTTTTTCTTAAAATGACATCACATCATTGTTTTATTGTTTCAGTCCTGGTTTTGATGACACACACACACATGCAGCTTGAACACGAATGGGGAAAAAACTTTACATTTATGGGGTATTGATTCACAACAGATTGTTGAATCGTTACAACCTGATTTCAGCTTCATATATACATTTTTCCTGGTCAGATGGAGGGGCCAGGCAGTCCTCGCTTCAGAAAGCTGCATTTCCCAGTCGGTTTGTGGATCAACTCTCCCAGGAAACACTTTGCCAAACTAGGACGTCGTTGGCCCAGCGCCATATCTGTCAAGTCAGTTTGAAACTATTCTCATTTTTTTCCTCCTGTATTTTATGACTGTCGGTTATGATTTAATTCACCATAGCATTTGTGTTGATATCTTATCTTACTTTCACTGACACACACTAAAAACTGATGGGTTATTTTGATAACCCAATAGGTTAAAGTTGTTGGGTCATAGGTTAGTTTTCACCAAATATTGAATTAAAAAACAGTCATTGGATCATGGATGAACCATGGCCATTTTAAGCCAGAAGTTGACTGGACCTCTGCTTTAGGATGTAAAACATAAGATGTTTATCTCGGTAAGCTTTATTAACAACTTTAGTTTGCATTAGACTGTGAATTTGTGTTCCTAAAACATTAGTTGGTACCAGATAGCTTACACTAACACAAGTTATACTAATCTAAAACGGCAGATTTTGTGTTTTATTTTTATTTTTCGTCACTCTGTTTCAACAAATTGACCATTTTAATCCAATATTTAGGTGGAAAAACCTAACCCAATACACTGTGTCAAACTGACAATCTGAACCTACTGAGTAAAAGCAGAGTTGCCTCAGTCCAGATTTGACCCAGCGCTGGATTATAAACTGGGTTGAGTTGTGTTCTTAGGTTTACACAGCGTTCTGTTGCTGTTATTACTTATTGTCACTAGAGGGTGCTGTAGTGTAGCATTGGTACAAATAAAGTAAGATACAGAAGACACGAGACAAAAGTCTGTGATGGCATCAGGCCTAATGGCACAGTTACTGTAAAACAGTTTGTGAGTTGTTTTGAGCAAAAAACAACCCTAACTTGTTTTTTAACCTAACTGTTTTAGTGTCTTTTCAGCACTGATCACTTCCCCTGACTTGTTTTGGTTCTTGTTTTTCAGTCATAACTTACAGCTGACTTCCTCTCTCTTTCCTGTCCCCTCCGTCTGTCCCTCACCTCCCTCTCTGTTGTGTCCAGGTCCACTACCAGCTCTGACGCAGCCTCGCTCCACGAGGCCCCTTCCGCTCCTTCCTCTTCCCTTTCTACCTCCACCCCCTCGCTGGCTTCCCCTTCCCCATCTCCGTCTCCTTCCCCGGCTGTCCTCAGGCCTCGGCCCGCCGGCACCCAGTCTCGCACAAAGCGCCTCTCCCATCTCTTCCTGAGGGGGCGCTCCAACAGTGACCGGGACCGGGCCGTGGGGGAGACGGAGAGAGAGATCTGGGCTCATTCGGCCGCCCCTTCCTCCCACCACTACTTGGCCCCTGGCTCGTCGTCGGGCCTGATCAAGATCTATGGGGATGCTCTCTACGGCGGAGCCAACTATCGCTCCCTGCTGGCAAACATTCACTCCACAGCCAGGCAGCTTATCGGCCAGGTCATCACCCGCTACACTGACAGAGAACGAGAGGAGACAGATGATGCAGGTATGAAAGACAACAGTTTTCTCTCTTGGACCTCCTCTGTGGAACAGACAGTTGGCAATGACATAAAACTAACCCACAGTGTAAGGGAAAATAACTGCTCTTCTCTTCCTTCGTGACCTTTTTAGTTGTCCAGAAACACAGCCCTGAGGACTTCCTGTTGTGTGATGTCATTGGAAAGCCAGTCCAGCAGCCAGATGGAGCTACCAAATGGGAGACAGAGTGCCGCAGAGGTGTTGCCCCATGGGAATGTCCTCTGCTGTTAGTGGACATGTGGCGGCCTAAGGATGGGTTTGAGCGGCGCTTTGAAATCCAAAGAAAGGCAGACTACGAGAGGGAGGAAAGAGAGAGGGAGATGGAGCGGGAGAAGGAAGGGGAGAGCTACAGAGGTTTGTGTGACACTCAGCAGATGGTGGCTCGCAAAGGAAACTCCGTCTCTTAATGTGTTCCGCAATTGATGGATGCTGTCTGCGTGACAGGTGTGCGCTGGAGGCGGAGTAGAATGGCGTCTGGACCGGAGGAAGGCGAGCGTGGTCACCGTAGCAGGAACAGCGATCTCCGGAGGAGCATCAGCGACATGAACTTGAGTCTGCGCCGACGGCAAGGCAACCATGTCAGCAATGACCCACACGGTCCAGGCAACCATCCCACCAACAGCAGTGGGGTGCAGGACAGAAAGAACATCGTGAGCATGATCAACCCACTGCCAGGAGAGGTAACAAAGATACTTTCATAAATCTTGCTGTGTTTTGTCGAAAGGTGTCATCTTTTACACCTCAGGGTAAATGCACCCAACCATCGTCTTCTCAACCTTCTCTTCAGGTCAGAGCATCAAGAGCTGAAGCGAAGGTCAGATGGACGAACCAACCAGTTGACAATGAGAAGGACTATTCCAGCTGTGACCTGGAAGTGATGTCACAAAGCCTGATCCTTCCGCCTACAGACCGGCCCTATTTCCTGTTGCTGCAGGGTTACGATCAGAGCAAGGCAAGACATGCTGACAGATGATATCACACACAGAAAAAGCCATAAACAGCACCCCCGCTTGACACGTGCACCCAATGCCACGCTCATAAACAGCTTGCAGCTTATGTGCACATATGTAAATGAAAAGTTACAGAGCGGTGCAGAGGAACACGCGTGCACACACCCAGTATATGACATCATACCTGCATGTCTGTAATCGCCACATACCATCGAGGTTCTCATCCCTCTGAAGGCTTCTCCCTTTCAGAGTCCAGCACAAAGCAACACAAAGCCTCGACAATTTACCCATCCTGCACACAAAACCCCACTGTGTACATCACTCCATCTCACACAATGACCTCATACAGGTCCTCATTGTTACAAACTGTGACACACTTCAGGACCCTATCAACAACCTTCTGTTGGGTTTAACGGCCGATGGAAGGTTGATATAAACGTAGACGATAACAGACCTCCCTGACTGTCTGATGTTTGTGTTGTTTAGGATTTTGTTTTGTACATCATGGCGGGGCATACGCATGTTTTTGGGAGAAAACCAACCATAAAGGAGAGAGAGAAGGACAGAGAACGAGAGAGGAAGGGGAAGAAGCCCTTGAAGGTGGACACCTTCCTGTCCGCTCCGGACCTTTTGGTCAGACACCTGCTGGTCAGGAGAGACGCTGCTGTTCCAGAGACGCCCACTGGACAAGGTACTAAATTTGAATAAATTTGAATAAATAAATAAAAATCAATTGAATGAAATTGAAATTTGAAACAATTCCATCCCAGCTCTGATACGACCCTTCAGAGGAGGCGAAGTCACGCACAATGGAGTGGCCCTGTACAGGGAGGCTGTCCTAAGGCCTGGGGATGTGATTGGTCTGGGGAACTACTTCCTGTTCTTGTACCGTGACCCTCGCGTGACCCCTGCCCCGCCGCTTGCACTGACGCTGCAATGGCAGGCTGACACCTCCACCACCTGCTGCCCTTCAGGTCTGGTGGACAGACAAGAGGCACTGAGGCATTACCTCGGCTCCTCGGAGGCGGTGTTGAAGTTCCATTCTCGTCACGCAGATACCTTGTTACAGGTGAGACACCCAGACAGCAGGTGTGAGTAAACTCTAACATTTGCTCAAGTAGCATCATTTTTATTTTTTCTGTTTCTTTTCTTTCTTTCAGGAGATAATCTCTAAAAATTCCTCTCCAGACTCCGGCGGGGGGCCTTTAGCTCCGGCATATCTGCTGTCAATCATGATTGACCACGCCTCCAAACACCTTGATCCTGCTCTCACACCACAGATATTACTCAAATCAGCCAATCTAATCAAAGAAATTGTCTGGGTAAGCAAACAAGCAAACAATAAAACCCACAAACTCAAATTATGTTACATTAAATAAGCCTTAGAGGTCAAAATGCAACAAATCCAGCTGTGATAAAATCACCCAGACCAGATTGTTACTAAATGTTTGATGTTTACTTTAAAAAATGTTGATCATTTTTTGCTGAAGCACAGTCAATTCTGATTAAATGATAAAAATTACACATTAGATACCTTAAATGCGACAGTTCAGATCCTCTGATGTGTAAAGATGATCTTACCTGTTGTAGATAGCTCTTGAACTAACTCACTTTGGAGAAATATTGATATTTTAAACTGGATTGATGATCTCATAGTCTATGCACAAGGCCCAAGCTGAGAAAGCAGATTCACAAACCTTTAAATCATTGTCAAATTTAAATGATATGGTTATTTACACAGACAAGATATATCATAATTTGGTTATTTATAGCTTTTTATAGAACAACTTTTAGTCTTGAAGAAAAGAACGCATTTATTTGCGATATTTTTATGTGGAACGTCATGTGACCACATGAACATGTTGAAAATGTTTCAAAATCACACATGAAACATGAGCAAAACATGTTAAAAAATCTGAACTATGTCTGTAAACATAAATTTTCTTGTGGTAATGTGGGAAAATTAAGGCACAACTGTGATTATTAATATTGATCCTTTATGTTTCACGTTTTTACCTAATTTTAAAGCAGTTCACTGAGTTATTTGTAAAAATGCTTGAACTAAACTGAAGCGAGACAGGCTACCACAAAAGCGGTGCACTAGCTGAAAACACAAAAGCTGAAGTAATAAAATCAGCCGGCCTTATAAAAGTTCTCATGATGCTAGTGATCACCTCCTTCATGGAATAAATCGTTTCTTCATGACCACACTTAAACAAACTTGGCTGGAAGCGAAACACAGCAGGTAGTGAGATTATTACGTTCAGTCAGACGGCAGACACACACACATGGTCCGTCGATGTGGCCTGCCGGGTGGCGAACAGGAGCGAGGATGAGCTGATGTCACCTCCCTCCTGCTGGAAAATGTGCTGTAATTGTCCTGGCTGCAGGGCCAGACTCTGTCACCCCCAACACTAAAAGATGTGTCTCCAACTCTCTTCACAGGATAACATTAAGGAATTCGGGGATAAGCATCCCACGCAAAAGTAAGACGACTTTATGCTCTGCGTAATGTTTCCTCTGTTTAGAGATTTGCTGCTGAGTGATTCATGATATCTTTGTGCTTGGGCTGTTATGTCTTTGGGACATTTTTGTGGTGTGATGACGGCGTTGTAAAACAATTATGTTGAAGAAAGAAGCTCAAATATAGCTGGGTAATAATAGCTCAGTCTATTTTTTACTCTCAGAGTGGGTTCAAACACAAACAAACCAGTCACAGGAGAATGTGCACAATTAAATAACTCTGGAGTTATCTAAAGGTTGTGTGTGCAGCTCCACAGAACAGGAAGCGGAGATAAGCACGCCCAATGTCCAAAAGCTGTCAGCCGACCTGCGGCCCCTCATGTTCTGGATGTCCAACGCGACAGAGCTCCTCAACTTCTTCCAGGTCAAAGTGGAAAATATGGAAAAGGAGTGGGAATTTGAAGGTAAGAGGAAACTACTTACTTTGAGGAGTTTGACAGTTTTCAATTAGCAGAAATACTTTTTGCCAGCTCAGAAATAAAAGCTGTCACTGAGCTTATAATCAGTTTTGCCGATTTCTTTTTTTTTTGTCTTGGAAAGCCCCCGGGGATCCGGTTTTGACAGCTGACATGGACACCTGCTCAGAGGCGCTGGCACAGCTGGATGATGTCATTATGCACACCTTCCAGCAGTGTGTGTATCACCTCACCAAGGTAAAGCAAATCAAAACACACACACACACACACACACACACACACACAC